ACTTCAAAGAGCAGGATGGCTTTACCATGGTTCGGTTCAAAAAAACAAGGCACGACCACAACTTACCATAGTAGTAAAACCTACAAAACTTTATTTTTTGCAATTACTCTATTATTTTAAATCTCTGCATTATATTGCTTTCTGTTTAAGCATAAAGCGGTCCAAACACCCACAATTGTGCTTCACCAATGGGATACAAAAACCAAACTCTGTATGAGAGTGCGGACAATAACAGTCATCAACATTTTTCAAAAGCCAGAATAGAGCAGTGCACATTCCATCCAAACATAATCCACTTCTAGGCATTGAGCGGTTATTCAGTGACTAACAGCAAGCGGGCTGACTTTATTGTTGCAGCCGACCCCCTTGGCTTAGGTGGAGAGGCAAACTGGATTACATATCTGAAGTATAAATACACAGAGTGTGGGTTGGTGGAGCATCCACTGCCCACAGCAAGGAACCAAAGAACCTCCACACAAGCAAATAACACCCTGACCCACTCAGAAATACACAGGTGTACAAGTGTTGCATACACAGAGCAGAGTTCTCACAAACTGTCAACTTGTTCAAAGGACAAACCCAATCTGATACACTAATTTCCGGTATAACATTCAAGGTTTCTGTGTAAACAATCCGCTTGTCAAGTCTGACGTCATGCGTCACTGCTTCCGGGTCCAAACGCTCTATCAGACGCCACAAGAAAACAACAAATTGTACTAATATACACTCAGAATGTGATATAATACTACCTAAAAATTATAATCCTAACTTTATTTCCACAACAAAATCCCAGATGGCCAGACAGTGATTAATTTTTTTTATAAATCATGAAAATATTTATGTCTGGGACGCCATACGAATGGAGATCGTAGTGTACGCTGTAAATTAAAAAAAAAGTTTAGCTTAAATGTGTAACGGCTGTTGAGATGGTATTCTCAAGTGAAACAAAGTTTGGACCTGGAAACAGCATTCCTTACGTCACGACTTAACAAGTGGATACTATGTTACAACAATTTATTGTAACACAATCATTCTTTAAAGGGGTCATATGATGCAATTTCAAGTTTTCCTTTCTCTTTGGAGTATTACAAGCTGTTCGTAAATAGATAAGATCCCTAAAGTTGCTAAGACTAAAGTCTCAAACCCAAATAGATATTCTTTATAAAAGTTAAGACTGGTCTACGCCTTCCTAAAACGCCTAGTTTAAACACGCCCCCACATGTCTACGTCACGATGTGGAAAATACTTTTGTTTGGCCTTCCAAAAGAGGACACGACTTGAAATCAGTGGTTAAGTTGCATTTACAACACTGTTCCAGAACAGTTCAACCCAAATATTCAGATGTGTGCAGCGCATTTTATGGAGGACTGTTTCCTGATCCTGGGAGAGTAGACTACAATGCCGGCTGTTCTGACTCACAGCCTGTAAGTGCGTTTTCATATTTAAAGAATTTGCCACTGATGATTTAAAAGTGAGCTTTGAGTAGTGTAGAGTAGCGCTTGTTGTTTGTAATTTCTCCAATTACAAATGCAGACATGGTTTTATGTTTACGCGGCGCGATGCAACACAACACATTAAAAAAAACAGTATAAGTCATTATAATCCGTAATTATGTCCTCACTGGATGCAACAAATGCCTCGTTTATAATGGGTTTGAATGTTTTTGCCTCATCGCGCCGGGACACGGCATCACAATATGGTAAGAGGCATAACATTTTCGTCACATGCTTGAGGTATTCGGCCAATTATGGAGGACTGTTTCCTGATCCTGGGAGAGTAGACTACAATGCCGGCTGTTCTGACTCACAGCCTGTAAGTGCGTTTTCATATTTAAAGAATTTGCCACTGATGATTTAAAAGTGAGCTTTGAGTAGTGTAGAGTAGCGCTTGTTGTTTGTAATTTCTCCAATTACAAATGCAGACATGGTTTTATGTTTACGCGGCGCGATGCAACACAACACATTAAAAAAAACAGTATAAGTCATTATAATCCGTAATTATGTCCTCACTGGATGCAACAAATGCCTCGTTTATAATGGGTTTGAATGTTTTTGCCTCATCGCGCCGGGACACGGCATCACAATATGGTAAGAGGCATAACATTTTCGTCACATGCTTGAGGTATTCGGCCAATAACAATGCACTGGATAGCTGACCAATCAGAGCACACCTTGCTTTTCAGACCGATGAGCTTTGTAAAAATCTACGTGTTTCAGAAAGGTGGGGCATAGAGGACAAACAACAATGTACAGTATGTGGAAAATAATGTGGTTTTCTTTTTTTTACCTTAAACCACAAAAACACATTTCATTACACCAAATACACAAAATAATGTTCTTTTTAGCAACATCATATGACCCCTTTAAGTAAAATACCTTCTGTTGTCACACTACCATTCAAAGGTCTGGGATCGGTAATCTTTTTTAAAAATGTTTTTAAAGAAGTCTCTTACACTCAACAAGGCTGCATTTATTTGAAAATACACTAAAATCGGTAATATTGTGAAATATTATTAAAATATCAACAGTCTGCTATATAATATATTTATTACGGAGCACCACACGACATGCATGATTTACTCATTTGTTCCCCCATTTTAAGTGAATTGTGTGCATGAAATAATAATTTGTTCCCTCATTTTAAATAAATTGTTCGCACGAAATAATAATTTGTTCTACGTCCTGTCCGCATTCTCATAAACTTGTTGCTGCTGTTATGTTGGACAGAGACACTTTATTTGGGTTTTATTTTGAGTTGAGAATTAGTTATAGAAACTTTCTGAAAAGCTTTGCAGCAGTTTACCAAAAAGAGCTTTAACACATTTCACCATGTTTAAATCTATTTTCTGTGCTTATTTTATGGGTAAAATTGCAGATTCCATCATATTTAATTCAGACTGTGTTAACCACTTCAGTACACCCAACAGCAGCCAATAAAACAACAGGAGGGCATATAAATCATTAACTCTCTCTAGAAACACCTTTAATCACTCTTCATACCCGTGTTTCACCTTTACACGAATAAACAGAAACGCAAAACGCTTACAAATGAAAAACTGGAAACCTGCTGAACCCACCTGATCCAGTTCTTGACTTCCATCCCAATTCCTGTCTAAACAGTCCAAGCAGGTTAATACAGCAAGAGTGGCCACAGCTGAGGAAAATGCATGCTCACAAGAATAATTCGGTGTGCGATTGAAGGGGCTATGAGAGGGAGGGAGCCCATCAGGGAAGGAGGAGCAGGGTTGTCGGGTTTAAGCGGCAAGCCCCCAAAAAGCCCCTCTCATGAGAGGACAGTTGGCAAGGGTGCGCATGCAGCCCTCTCGTTTGTTGTGTGCTCCGTTTAGCTTATTGTTCCAGAGAGGTTTGGTCAGGACGGGCCTTTGTAACTTCTGTACTTTCAGAGCTGAACAGCAAAGAGGCTCCCTACTGGGTATAATTAAGACGACACACAATGAGGCCCATCAGCAATTAGAACCTTATTAGTTTCATGAGGCAAAACAGAAAGCAAGCAAGTGAGAGAGGGAGCTAGCGAGTATGTGAGCGAAAGATTAAGGGAGTAAGGCACAATGAAGATATCAATAATCAACATCATATTTGTTGCCCGTTCGGTTCAGATAAGCACACATTCTGTCTTTTGTTTGACTCATAGTAGCACTTTCGAGGTTGGACTGCAAGCAATGCAACGATCAACAAATCCTACTGATAAACAGCCCCCAGTAGGCGTGAAGGAAATTAAGCGGGCCTAGCTCATTTGAAGTGGTTAAGAGCAGTGCTCTCCTGGGTAATGTGCTGTACGACAAGAATAATAAGCTGGCCAGAGGACATCAAGCGAGAACATAACCCACCATGGCCAGGAAGAAAAACCATTTCTCCAAAAATAAAACCAAAAACAACACCACTACAATCAGAGGCTGACTAATAATGGATTCTGGTGTTACAACAAGATAGGGAAAAGCTGATTTTAAATTAATAGGCCAATATTTGTAATTAAAAATTACTCTTTTTATATTTGAACAAAAGTTTATTTACACTACTTTTCAAAAGTTTACGGTCTGTAAGATGTAAGATTTTTTTTTATGTTTATGAAAGAAGTTTTTTATGCTCACCAGGGCATTAATTTGATCAAAAATACAGTAAAACTCTAAATTTGCTGAATATTATTACTATTAAAAATAATTGAATACGAAAAAACAGCAGTATTTAAAGCCTATTGTAACATAAATGTCTTTTCTGTAACTTTGAATCAATTTAGTATGTAGTTTTTGAATAAAAAAAGTTTTAATTTCTTTTTTAAAAATCTAGCTTTGGAACTACAGTGTAAATGCCATTTATTACAAAATAACTTTCAACCTCAACAAGGCTATGAGTGTTATATGAACAACCAGTCATGCAATCAAAATTGTGGCTTTTAGTTCAAGTCTACCAGCTAAAAAAACTAAAAACTAAAAGGCAAACAAATTCAGCAGAAAATTGCATTTACAAATTACAGTCTTTCTATTCAAGAAAAACATACCAAAAATATTGATTACTGCTCAGATTTTTTGTCCAATTAAATGCTCTTGGGAATGACAATGTCTCAATACAATAACACCATTATCTACAAACTAATCATGTTCAAGGCATGATGCAATTATAAAGGAGTTCAATGTCCCACTCCCACCCAAACTTCCTGTTTCAAAAGAAAATTCATCAACACAGGAATATGAATGAAAGTTACAAAGAGTCAGATGGCAATTCAGTAACTGCTCTGATGGATTCAGTTAATGATTGTGTAGAATAATTTGAATGAGTTTTTTCAACCGATTCATTACTACTCTGGTCTACACTGGTTTTGCTGTATCGTACAGTGTTGAGCACTGCAGTGGACATACACTGAAAATCATTGTGTGTGGGGTTGATGCAAAATGTACCATTACAAATTACAAAAAAAATTTAAATCCATCTGGACTTTAATCGGTGTGAATTTTTTGCAGCTAAATAAATGTCCAATCCACTCACCTGTAGCAGGTGTTGTCGGAGCACAGGTTGTGCACTCGTACAACCACAAAGACATGCTGAAAGTGTGAGCGGATGTTCTTGGGGCTAAAGGGCTTTGCTCCAGGCTCTTGAAACACGATTGTGACGATGTCGTTTCCGATGTGTCTTTTCCTTAACAGCTATGAAACACAAACAACATAGATCAGTATACACTATCGTTCAAATGCAATGAAAACTGAAATGTATTGTAACAATTAAAAATAACTGATTTCTATTTTAATATTTTTAAAATGCAATTTATTCCTGTGATGGCAAAGCAGTATCTTCTGCAGACATTGCTCTATTCATCAGTGTCACATGACCCGTTATAAATAATTTCTAACATACTGATTTGGTGCTCAAGAAACATTTGTTATCACTGTTGAAAACAGTTGTGCTGCTTAATATTTTTGTGGAAACCATGATATATTTTTTTCAAGATATAAATAAAATTATTAATTACTTCCAAAAAGCCCTTCTGACCTCAAACATGTATGTGTATGTGATAGTTTAACAATGAAAGTAAAAAAAAACGATTATAATGGTGTTTGTCGTTGGATAGCTTACCTGCTGTTTATTATTGGGCGTGTAGGGCAGCATTGTAGACACATGGAACATGATCTCATAGTCTTTAAAAGTTGTGTACAAAGAATGTGTTCCGGTAGAGTCCGCTGCAAGAAAAAACTCAGGTTAACCTTTCATACATGGCTTTTATATGACCACCTGCTTTTCTATTGTTAAACAAAGAAGGATTTCTGTTTTGTCTGAAGGGAATACACAGTCTAAAGCCTTTGATCATACGGTCTCATTTATTTAACACTCCTTGACTTGTTAGGGCAAAATATGGCTCCCGCTCTTTTAAAGGACCCCTTTTTTCTATTGTTCACAAACAGGATACTGTCGCTCTGGACCATGGCGGTACAAACTCATCTTCTCCTCAGTCCCTTCTTCCTGATCTCTATACTCCACCTGACTCCGAAACCACGTCCTAATCCGTCAAGCCGAGATCAAAGCTTTCTGACAACTCTGCCGCCCTTCTCGGTCACGCTAGCAGCGGAGGGGGGAATGTAAGGGGTAAAATGTCAAGTCTGATAAATGGAATTAAAAGCATGCTTGTGATCAGAGACAATATTTCTTATGGTCACAGGGGAGAGGTGGAGCACAGCTGCCAGGCACGGCATGCATGACTGGGTCTCGAATAAGGGCACTGGGTTCAAATTTGAAACAAACCAGAGGATAGAACAGGAGATGATTGTTGGTGGTTAGATCCATTCCCATTTAATCACAACCTCAAATTGTCAATAAACCGCTGACAGTGGAGGGACGTATTTAGAATGTGCTGCAGGCTCATTTGAGTGTGATCCTGTTAGAATTAATTAACTAGCCCTATAGACTACTAGACTGACATGAGGTCAGAGATTCAATAGCTGTTTTGCCCCTTTAGCTACATGCTGTTTTAATCACACAATAAGCCCCTTTCAGGCTTCAGTGGCAATTAAATAAACCTTCAGGATGATAAGACTCACTTTTAGTGTCCAGTTGGGCACGGTACTTGGAAAAACCCTTAAGGCGCACCCTTTCCCCCAGCAACTGCAGGAACTCTTCTAGGGCGGGACCTGCTGCCTCATTATTGTACATCTCCTCCTCGCTGCTCTGGCCAGCCTGACAGTACATGATTCCCACCTTCAGCTGGAAACTGAGCTGCAGAACAGATCATAAATAAAGACCATTAGCCCATGAAAAACAGGAACAACAGAAGTCAATATATATTCTGTTATTTGGGCTGCCAAATTAATGTGCTAATTTAAGTTACAAATAATTATTAAAAATAAAAAAAATTTAACAGAGCAATAAAGCATTAGCATATATGAAATACCACTTAGAATAATCAAAGTCTTTTAAAAATGAAACAATCTATTGAAAATTAGTAAAAAAATATATATATATATGAATAAATACATTTATTCATTACAACAAAAAATGTTTTGCATTGCATTAACACATTTTTATTTTTATTTTTTATAAAATAAATACTATAGACAGACAGACAGATCAATAGGTGTGTGTGTGTCTGTCCACCACAATAAATCATTCAAATAATTTAATCACCAATGTTCTGTGGGGATGATTCTTCACTTTGTAGTTATTACCAAAATTATAATAAAAAGCCTTTGAAAAAGATTACATGATTGACACCCCAAACTATCATGCATGCATAATAGCATATAATTTGTCAGTTGTAAGGGAATGTAAAATCATAATACCCCCTGTTCATCCAGTTTCATCAGCTGCTCTGTGACCTTGGGTGTGTTGAGGGCAAGACGGAGGCAGTGGGCATTGAGCTCAGGTACAAGGTACTCCAACACCTCCTTTAGAGGCAGGCCTCGAGCCAAGCCATGCTTGGAGGTGGAGGGCACAGCATCCTCCAAAATGGAGCCCCGTAAGGTTGTTAACTATAGACAGAAGGTTAGAGATATGACAGAGAGATGTCTTTGTATTATTGTTTTAAATGTGTAGGCATAAACAATTATCTGTATAACATTTGAAAATTACAGGTGTGACTAAAAGGGTGGGTGTTAAATACTGTTATAAGATTTTCTGAGAAAATTAGTACTTGGTACTCCAGAATCCAACATACTATTGTCTTTTAGTACCTGCTCGTTATGATTCAGAGATCTCAAATGCCTGAAAAGGTGTCATAATGAGTGGGACAAAAGTTTTATACTAAGCTAAACGACATCTGCCCACCTGCCTGTCTCAAAATAGCAGTGGAAAGATTGCCATGTTGGGCTGAGCATCACCTTAGTCACAAAGCTATTAAGGCCCATCAGAATGCATGTGAAACATAAGCAGTTTCTATAAATCATGCCAAAGGCTGAGGTCACATTTAAGAGCCTTTTGTGTTATAATTAGAGAGATCCATCCATTTAAAGCTGCTGTCAAAAGCGGTGTGATTGAGAAGCAGTACGGTGACGAGACAGTCAGAGCACAGCGTGATCTGTGCCGAGCACTAGCAGAGAGAACTCGCCTCTAAGCATGTTATATAAGATAGCAGTGGGCGTCAGACCTGGATCTCTCTCGCCGCTAACTGCTTAGAATTAACTCTCTCTGTGCAGGCATGAGGAAGCACATTGCATTCAGACACTACAACAACTATATATGCCAATGGAATTGGGCGGTGTGAATGAGTGCTCACCCCACTGGTTCTGAAGATGATTCTGTAGTTGTATTGCTGGCCGTGCTCTTTGTGATCCTCAAGTTTTTCCCGACGAATACTGACAGCTACCGGTCCCAGGGTCTCATCGACACCTAAGTAGTTCCAGTGCTCTGAGGATTTTAATAATTTTTCAATTAATGATTTATTAACTTGATTAAAAACAGCAGCAATTTAAACAAGTGCCATAAATGATTAAGTACAGATCTTATTATAAACAAGTTAAACACATTTTTAAATGCAACATTGCATTTTTGTAAAGAATTAACAAATTGTTTTTCTTTTTTCTACTGCCAAGTGGGATAAATCAATCATTTTTGTCAAATATAACTTTTTCATTTGAAAAGTTATTAAATAATTATTTTTCTGCAACATTTAACTACATAGGCCTATATAAACATTAAATAAATATTAACTACATCTACGTTTTAAATGTGCTTACAAATTTTTATTTGAAAAGGGATTTATTTACATCTTATTTTTGACTTAAAGGGATAGATCACCCAAAAATGACAATTCTGTCATTAATTACTCACACTCATGTCGTTCCAAACCCGTAAGATGTTTGTTCATCTTCAGAACACAAATTAAGATATTTTTGATGAAAACCAAGAGCTTTCTGACCCTGCATAGACAGCAACACAACTACCACATTCAAGGCCCAGAAAGGTAGTAAAGACATCCTTAAAATAGTCCATGTGACATCAGTGGTTCAACCTTAATTTTATGAAGCTACGAGAATCCTCTTTTTCGTCATGGTACTCTCGTGAACAAGCATCAAAGTCTGACACGGAGAAGAAATTGTTGATTAAAGTTGTTATTTTTGCTTTCTTTGTGCACAAAAAGTATTCTCGTAGCTTCATAAAATTACGGTTGAACCACCGTATGTCACATGGACTATTTATTTATTTTTTTCCCCGAAGATGAACGAAGGTCTTATGAGTTTGGAATGACATGAGGGTGAGTAATTAATGACAGAATTTTCATTTTTGGGTAAACTATCCCTTTAATCAATTGATCATTGATTCCTTTTTATGTGGAGCGGCACTCCTAGTCCTCCATACACAACCCTAATTTGCATGAATATCTCCATTGAAAAAATATTACCAGTACATCAAGTGTACCATTAATGCAAAATGTTAACACTCACCTCTCAAATAGAAGTTTTTCCTGTAATAATAAGCACCCAAGTCTACGTGTTCTACTATGTTGCTCTTTCCACGATCATGATGGAGACTCTTGCTTTCCTTGGGGGCTTCAAGAACAGCCACCCCTGCATTGTTAAAATGTGTGTTGGGAGCTCTTTCAGGGGATCCTTCTTCATCTCTGGAAGAGCTAGAGGCACCACTGCCGATACTGCCCTGTTTGGAAGGGCTGATGTTCCTCTCTCCTTCACCACCAATTTCGTTCCGGAAACATGGGCAGCTGAGGACCAAATCGTTGCTCTTGTCGTCACCTGAGTCTAGAGAAGGCCCGTCCTTGATGTTGAGCTCTTCCTGGCTGCCACAAGGGGAGCCGTAAGCCCCGCTTTGGGTGGACGAGAGAGAAGACGTGGTGGAGGCAGAGGCTGCGGCTGCAGCAGAGGCACCAGTGGTGGTGTTCTTCCGCTTCACAGCGCTTTGCCGACTCTGCACAGCCTCGTTCAGGTCAAAAAGAATACTCTGGACATCAAAGTGCGCGAAACCTTTCTGGCAGACCCATGGTTTAGGAGGAGGACCCACGTCATCAGACTTTCCGTCTTCCGCATCGGAACCCGCACGTGACGAATCACCTTCGGCTTTGACGCTACGTAGCTTGCGGAATATGGACTCTCCACCCGTCTCTGACTTTGAACGCCTCTTCATGTGTTTTTCTCTTTCTTTCAGGCGACTAGCAGGACTGCCACGTGGAGGACCAAGAGGTCCGTCGGGCAAGTCGAGGGCAGTTTGTTTATGAGCTACTGTCAGCAATTCACTTAACTTTTCAGGGGCAGGGCTGCGCTGGTCCGGAGCGTCGGTCTGATAGCCTTTGAGCATGTCGAAGAAGCTTTCGCCAGACACACCGTGCTTGTCAATGGATGAGGTACTGCCATACTCTCGATGCATGGGCGTCCATCCTGAGAAAGACCAGCCCTCGCTACCATCGCCGTCTAGTTCACTTATGGTGATGTCGCTGTTGCTCCGCTGCCGTATACGCCGCATTCCCTTCCGGGGCGACCCGAGGTACCCATCGGGTGAGAGGAAGCGATTGTCTTTGCCTTTGCTCTGCATCTTGTTCTTCAGAGTGTTGTGAATGTTCCGCAACATGGATGAGTCCTGAGGGCTGATCAGGTGACCGAGCTTGCTTGACAAGTTGCTCTGGGCACTTCCTGTGGTGGTGGAAGGGGAATCCGTCTCCACTGTGATGTGCCACACCCCACCTCCATTTCCACCCCCTCCTCCACTTCCTCCACTGCCGCCATCTTTCCTGGGGGGCCAGTCGGCGACCCGTGCTCGGACACCCATTTTGGGAACCCCGGGCGTGCCAGTCAAGTGCGTGCTTTCACTGCGAGGGGGTGGCGCGCCTCCATTGGGCAAGCGCAGACGGCGAGTATAAAACTCATCTGTGGCGGGAACAGAGCCGCCCACAGAGCGTTCGGTCTGTGAACGCTTTAGACTGGTCATGGTACGGCTAAGTGGCGGAGCTCAGCACTGGAGCATGCCCGCAGTGTAGCTGAAATAACGAAGCTTGGGGAACATGAGCAGCCACTCAGCTGGAGAGGCTAGAGAATGGAGGACAGATAATTGCACGATGAATGTGAACTTTAAAGTGAACCTGAATCAGGCATGTGTGCTGACCATTAGGTGATCTGACCTTCCTCCTCTCATCCCTTTATGCAGAACTGAAACAGAGAAAAATGAGAACAGTATAAGAATACGGAAATAATAGCTGATATCTTGATGGTCAAAATGGAGAAATAAATAGAGAGGTAAATAGAAGGGCCATGGAGGGGACAAAGCACTTTAAGATGGCAACAACAACAACCACACAGCATCACAGAAATTACGTAGACATTGCGTAAAAGATTCAGAGTATGAATGTACAGAGCTAAGAATATCAGATGAAAAAAACAAAATGACCTAATATTCTGTGTCTGATGACAGCATGTAGCACAATAGCAAGAGTAAGCATTATTACTTCAGCAAAATAAAGAAATCTATTCCCAAATAGGGCGGTTGAATGAAACAATAGACATTCAGCTGAATCACTGGACATTTTGAGTTTATGAATCACATTTGTAG